GATCTGGGGATATGGTAGAATCTGGGGATATGGTAGAATCTGGGGAGATGGTAGAATCTGGGGAGATGGTAGAATCTGGGGAGATGGTAGAATCTGGGAGAATCTGGGGAGATGGCAGAATCTGGGGATATGGTAGAATCTGGGGATATGGTAGAATCTGGGGATATTGTAGAATCTGGGGATATGGTAGAATCTGGGGATATGGTAGAATCTGGGGATATGGTAGAATCTGGGGATATGGTAGAATCTGGGAAATGGTAGAATCTGGGGAGATGGTAGAATCTGAGGATATGGTACAATGTGGGGACATGGTAGAATCTGGGGACATGGTAGAATCTGGGGAGATGGTAGAATCTGGGGAGATGGTAGAATCTGGGGAGATGGTAGAATCTGGGAAAATGGTAGAATCTGGGGATATGGTAGAATCTGGGAAGATGGTAGAATCTGGGAAGATGGTAGAATCTGGGGAGATGGTAGAATCTGAGGATATGGTACAATGTGGGGACATGGTAGAATCTGGGGACATGGTAGAATCTGGGGATATGGTAGAATCTGGGGATATGGTAGAATCTGGGGATATGGTTGAATCTGGGGATATAGTAGAATCTGGAGATATGGTAGAATCTGGGGAGATGGTAGAATCTGGGGAGATGGTAGAATCTGGGGAGATGGTAGAATCTGGGGAGATAGTAGAATCCGGCGAGGTGCTAGAATTTGAGGAGAGGAGGTGGTTTAAAATCATGAGGTTTCGTTGAATTTGTCAGTTGGCACAAACTAGTGGAGATGGTAGTATTTGGGGTGACATTTATTCTTATTGGAGGAAACCACCGTGATGTAGCCGCTAGAGGCTCACCCTCAGATCCTAAGGTCATGGGTTCAAATCTGAACACAGCCAGTCTTTCTTTAAAAATGACCTTCGCTCCTAGGTCGACTCAGCCTTAGATGGGTACCAGGAAGTAAAGGCGGTCGGTGTGGGTGTGCATTACCCTGAGTGCTGATTGGTTTATAAAATATAGGTCTAACCCTGTACACCCAGTACGCCTGAAAACATGGGCAGTGGATCTTTTTCAATCTTCTTCTTCTTCTTCTTCTTCTTCTTCTTCTTCTTCTTCTTCTTCTTCTTCTTCTTCTTCTTCTTCTTCTTCTTCTTCTTCTTTTTCTTCTTCTTCTTCTTCTGCATCATCTTCTTCCTCTTCTTCTTCTTCTTCTTCCTCTTCCTCCTCCTTCTCATCCTGATCCTCGTCCTGCTCCTGCTGCTCCTCTTGCTCATCTTGCTGCTGCTCCTTATTTTCCTCGTCCTGTAGTAAAAGTGCTGGGAGGACCCACTGACGTTGTTTTACTGTTACTATTATATTTTGAATGTCATGTGACCGAACGTTTTCGAAAGAAGAGACAACGGGAGATGTTGTGTGAATGCTTCAGACAGCAAGAAAACCGAATCTAGACTGTTTTGAAGAGCTAGCGAAAAGAGAACATTATATGCATATATTAGACTAACTAGGCTGGCTGATACTGACGAATCTGTGACGCTAACACGATTACACGACCTGGGGGGGGGGACCTGGAGAAGCACATTAGTGCCGTCTTCAATGTCAAGATAGGAGACCTTGTAACCAACCCCTCCTGGAAGCAATCAGCAGAGGTGCCTTGCAATGGCAGCTACCTCGGAGGACTGAGCACGCGTGACAGTGACCAATGTGCAGTGATCTCGATTGAGATAACATATTTAGCAGAGAGACATGTATTATTTTGTCATGTAAGGAGGCGTGAGGCACTGCAGAACATCGTGACGTCTGGACAAGTCAACGGTAGAAGAACTGGAGGACATGCGCGACGACAGACATACAGAAACGTATTGGAGTGATGGCAGAGTCTGGGGAAAGAGGGGGGGGGTTAGGGATATGGTAAGATCTTTGGAGATCGCAGAGTTTAGTTATTTTGCAGGGAAAGGTGGCGTTCAGGCTCCTTAGAACAAAACTGTAAACAAGAAAGCACATTATTATTATTATTATTATTTTCGTTTTTATTATTTTTATGCCAAATAGCAAATAATGATAATAATGTTCTTGGAATAATTTGAAATGTACAAATACTTTCAGAGATTATTTCTATACAAAATTATTGGGTGTTTGGGGGAGGGCGCTTCATTTGCCATTCAGCGCATTATTATTATAATTATTATCATTCTCTAAACTATGATTATACCTCCTAACCCCCCCCCCACCCCCCACCCCCGCCTTTTTGCTAAGAAAATGTATACTTCGGAAAGAGGGGCAATGTTTTCTTTGTATCAACGCGCCAGCATAAAGGTGAAGATTAGTTGGTAAAATTTACAATTTAAAAAAAAAAAAAAGAACTTCCCTTTCTTTCCATGGACTTGCCTTCTCTACTTACCCCCACCCCAGCCATAGTATCGAATAGTTAGTTCCTTGTTATTATCTGCTGTGTCCGTTTCGTGAAATAGATGTCGGTTCGCTTGAGCTGAAATTGGCCAGGAAGGAAATCTGACAGCCTGTCAGCTGCTTCGTGAGACAACCCCAACTTTAGAAAGTCAACAGACCGCACGCCAATCGAGTTAATATTTCTCTCTCTCTCTCTCTTTTTCTGACTCTCTCTCTCTCTCTCTCTCTCTCTCTCTCTCTCTCTCTCTCTCTCTCTCTCTCTCTCTCTCTCTCTCTCTCTCTTTCTATCGTTTCCCCCTTTTTCTCTGTATGTATATATCTATATGTGTGTATATATATATATATGTGTGTGTATTTATATACATTGAAAATATTGAAAAGTATTTGAAAAAGTGTAAAAGCACGAACAATCAGTACTTTCCGCCTGAAGTTAAGCCGGTGAACAAAGAAGATAAAAAAAAAAGAAGAAGAAGTACTCCAAAATTTGAGACACAACAGAACGCTATGTCGAATAGGTAGTGCTAACTCCGCTGTATGTGGTTGTTGCTCACCAAAGCAAACTTCAGAATATGTCTTACAGGTTTGGCTAGACTTTGCCAGTCAGAGAGAAGAAGTCTGGCCAACAGGAACCTCCCTACAAGATAAACTTTAGGGCACCGGTGAAGACCGCAGCTCGCAGTCCTGGTTATGGCACATTTGAGAAAAGACGCGGAAGAGGGCTGCGTGCTCTCGAGGCATTGTGTCCCCCCTCGAGCGCTAGAGGTTCCGGGTTCAATCCCCAGTGAGGGCTGGGATCTCTTCACGTGGACTTGGACTTCTAGTAATTCCCCCGGGTCTCTGGGTAGTGAGATCGGACGCCCGTGTGCATTGTTGCGCACATAAAAAAATCCCTTGGCAGTTGAAAATCGAAAAGAGTAGCCAAACGGCACTGCCCGAGCAACATTTTGAGTTATAAATCTACCCAAAGTATTTCAGGATCCTCGCCGGTGCTACAGAGCTTGTGCACTGTCCTAAGCTTCTTCGGACTCACACTTGAGTTAGAAGACGAACGGATCACTTATGGGTTACTACCCGTGTGCCATGAGGTTGATCCGTTGTTCAAACTTCAAACAGAAAAGACGCATAGAAAACATTCATCGCGAAGAAGAAGGAGAAGAAGAAGAAGAAGAAGGAGGAGGAAGAAGAAGAGTGAAGAAAGGAGAAGAAGAAAGAAGAAGAAGAAAGAAGAAGGAGGAAAAGGATAAAGAAGGAGAAGGAAGAAGAAGAAAAAGAAGAAGAAGAATTCGCATCCTGCAAGTGACCCCTCCTTGATTTACTGACTCTCCATCTTACGAGTGGCAATTCAAGAAAAAAAAAAGGGGGGGGGGGCGATTTTCAGGCAATAATTTCAGGAATGTGTGTTGTCTTTAATCCAGATGCAACTGTGGAAGCCCATATCATGCCTGGGATGAAACGGAGAGTCCAAGTGGAGATTGGGTCAGATATCACCTTGGAATGTCCCAACTATGGACACAGATCTGTCAACATCAGCTGGAGCAAATACGGTAGCAGTCTTCCAGCCGGTCGTTTCACTCTGTCAGACTTCGGTGAGTATTTTCTGTTTGGTTTGTCATCATCATCATGATCATCACTATCATCATTATCATCATCATCGTCATCATCGTCATTATCAACATCAACAGCAGTCGTCATCATCATCAACCTCAGTCATTATCAGTGTCCACTTGGGCGTCGTGGGAAGGAACCCTTCCTGAAATGTCCCAGTTTTGGACACAGATCAGCTAACATCATCAGTTGGAGCAAATATGGTAGCAGTCTTCCAGCGGGTCCTTTCACTCTGTCAGACTTCGGTAATTCTTTCTTGTTGGTCTGTCATTATCATCATCATCGATCAGCATATATATAAATGAATATGTGTGGATATGTATGTCAGTAAAATCTATCTTTCTATGTCCAGATTGGCATCCCTCTTCCCCCTCTCTCTCTCTCTCTCTCTCTCTCTCTCTCTCTCTCTCTCTCTCTCTCTGTTTCCTGGTTTTGGCTGATGGACATGAGGTATGAGAGGGGAGGACGTGGAGCTGCAAGAAGTAAACATTTTACCGAGGAGGCAAGACGCCGAATTAATCAACACAGAACAGCAGTCATTAGTCGTTGTACGTTTGTTTAGCCTTTGAGGGGAAGATCGGAGCAATTATGGATCTGTCCAGAACTAGTCATTAATCACTATTCTCCCCCCCCCCCTCTCTCTCTCTCTCTCTCTCTTTCTCTGTCTCTCTCTCTCACACACTCTCTCTCTCTTTGTGTGTCGGTGTGTGTGTCTGTGTGTCTTAAACAGCCAGATATGATCTCTTCCTCTCAACCAGAATGACATCTCTCTGTCTCTTCTCTCTCTCTCTCTCTCTCTCTCTCTCTCTATATATATATATATATATATATATATATATATATATATATATATATATATATATATATATATATATATCGACCTTGCCATCTCCCCGGTTGATGACATTGCTTCTTTCCATTTCAGAAGTCGTAACAACCACAGTATATAAGTAATTATTTGTTATTTTAAAACTGACTGTGGGAATTTTCCAGGAAATCTCAAGATTCAGTCCACCCAATATGAAGACTCAGGGACATTCATCTGCAGCTCTGGTGCCAAGGAGAAAGAGGAAGGACAGGTGTACCTGGAGATCCTTACTCCGCCAGTTGTTCAAGTGACCAAAGAACCTCAGATAGTAGCAGAGGCTGGCCAGCGTGTGGACATGACGTGCTCAGTGGCTGGGTTTCCCAAGCCAGAGCTTCACTGGTTTCACAATGGTAGAGAGCTCACCAATAAGGATGAAGGTAAAAACTTGATTTTAGTAATGAATTGCACCCCGTGTGTGTTCCCTACCAGGTATGTTCCCTTCTGTGTGTGTTCCCTTCTCTTCCAGAACCATATTTTAGGGAGAAAGAGATAAAAAAAAAATAGACTGGCCTCTTCTTGGTCAAGCAAACATCTTAAAGTGGATTGCTTCTTCTTTCGTTCGCCTGAAAAAAGTTGTCTATATCAGCAGTTTTGTCTGTTGTATAAATTTCACTGTCGTTGTTAGTTCATTCAGTGGTCCATAGAGTTTACGTTCCACTGTTGTCATTTCTGGCCAAAAGGTTTGCCCTAATGTGTCAAAATCGGTGCAGTCCTGGATTACATGCTCTGTTGTCTGGGGCACATTTCCACAGGTGTACATGGCTGATACCCCTATCTTGAATTTTGTGTACATGTGAGTGGATTGCTGAAATAAAATGTGTTGGGGAAAGGCAAGGTTATTGCAACAATTATTTCCCTTCCCGGTGTCTGCTGCAAAAAGTTCGTAGTATCCAAAGAGTCAACAAACAACTATAAAGCGGTATTTTCTTGTAAAACTATGTAATCATTCTTATTCCATCCTTCACTTCCTCTGTTACCACTTTGAATGATAAAGGAGGTACAGTGTTCTAGTTCTCCTAGTTCTCACTTTTCTGGCTAACCCTTGTAGGCTCTGGGGCTAAAGGAGGGTTTAGGGGAGTGGGGTGGCTGGGAGGAGGGGGGAGTAGAATAGACAGTTATATGTACCTTAGTCTTTCAAGACCTCTAGCTCACTAGCTCACTTCTGACTGGTAGTCCCTGAGCACTGTGACCTTTGCACAAGATTACGGGAGTGTTACGTAATGCCGTTGATATCATATGTTGTATTTTTCCGCACGCCAGGGCTTTTAACACTCCAAAAACATGGAAAAACTGGGTCTAACATTCCCCCCCCCCCCCCCCCCCCCCCCCCCCCCCCCCCCCCCCCCCTCAGAGAGTGCTGGAACCTGTGTGATAGGCATTCTCTTTCTCGAAATGAAAACGTAAATGCAAGACATCACAGAAATCAAACAACGAGCGGAACACCCGTAACCTTCATGAAAGTCGACCAGCCCAAAAAACTTGTGAATGAAAAGTAACCTATATTTGGAGAGACTATCGTCAAACTAACCGAACAGACATACTGCCTCCTAACAAGCATGTTGTAAAAATCAACTATTTAGGAATGTTTCATTCAAATTCAGAGTGTATCTGCCTGAGAGGCGAGGAACCAACAGTCTGCATACAAATAAGCTAGATCTATAAAATAGATGGGCGTGCAAACTCAAGTTATGGAGCAGGATTACACTCCAGAAGTTGATGAACAACTAGTTTGTGGCAGAGTTTGTTGCCAGTAAATTTAAATTTAAAAAAAAAAAAAAAGAAGAAGAAGAAGAAAAAGAAAAAGAAAAAGAAATGTTCTAGCTACCTCAGACATAGACACATGATGCTGTTGTAGAGAGGTTTTGATCTCATCCTTCCACCTCGTTTATATCAGGTTCTATGTCCTGCCCTCTTTTTTGTACATGCCATGTATGGCGGGATTTCACAGGGCATTCTTGCTAAGTGATAAACTATTGTGTTTGCTGGGTAGTAATTCAGTATTGACTTTTGTATGGGGCGGAAACATAGAGAAAACTAGGGCAATTACTAATAAACTATAGACATTCACTAACTGGTGCTTGGATAGAATAGAGAGAATTAAATAGTATGATAGAAGCACTGATGTAGACCTTTGGGAGAGAACTAAGCAAGCTCCAGTGGACCAAGAGGTGGAAAAAAAAAGACGATTGCGTTGGATAGGACACACGTTGAGAAAATCGGAGAAAAATATAGCTAGAACGTCTTTGCGTTGCAACCCACAGGGGCATAGGAATAAAGGAAAGCCAGAAAACACATAGAGAAATGAGCTGGAGAATGAAGTTAGAAAGATGGGGAGGACATGGGGAGAGCTGCATGCGATAGCAAAGGATAGAACGACTTAGCGTGAGTTGGTTAAGGGCCTATGCTCCATTGGGGGCTAGAAAGGCGGAAGAAGAAGAATTCAGTATTGGTTCTTGCTAGTTAATTATTTAAGGCCTCGTTCCTAATTTTTATCTTTCCTGGTGACGCCTGCCTGTGTCCTCGGTCAGCTTATTAATATTCACTTCTGAACTGTTATGAGAGACCATGGCAGGTACTTGTAGCATAGGGTGGAGTAGCATAATTTGTAATACTGTTGTATGCATTCTTAATACTTTCAAATGCAATTCTGGTACTTAATTATGCAGCCATTTTACCGTTGTTTGCATTCTTCATACTTGTGTATACAATCTTCATAGCTGTGTATGCAGTCTTCATAGTTGTGTTTGCAATTTTCTTACTTGTGTGTACAGTCATCGTAGTTATGTTTACAATCTTTATACTTGTGTATACAGTCTTCATATTCGTGTATGCAATTTTCATTCTTGTGTTTGCAATCTGCATACTTGTGTTTGCAATCTTTATACTTTTGTTTGCAATCTTTATACTTGTGTATGCAATCTTTATACTTGTGTATGCAATCTTCATACTTGTGTTTGCAATCTTTATACTTGTGTATGCAATCTTTATACTTGTGTATGCAATCTTCATACTTGTGTTTGCAATCTTTATACTTGTGTATGCAATCTTTATACTTGTGTATGCAATCATCATACTTGTGTTTGCAATCTTCATACTTGTGTATGCTATCTTCATACTTGTGTATGCAATCTTCATACTGGTGAATGCAGTAAAGCTCTTTTTGTGATTGAAAATGCACAGACAACCATTCTGAATAACTATTGGTCCACCACAAGTAGACAACTCAATGAGATAATCAATATATTTCTTATATTGGGTCAGATGAATTTTGTGGGTCTTGTAAATCTAAGCTCATCCTTATCTGACATGTTATCTTCTTGTGGAAGCCGTGATCAATAGTAATCCACTTCAAGAAAGGAACCTTACACATCGCCTTGGAAAGCCAGCCAGATATTTGTGATTGATTATGAGTTTATGAAAAAAGGCTCTCTTTGAGCACATAAATTAGTCGGTCTGCCAGTGTTAGGTGGGAGTGGGGTGAGTGTTAGTGGATGTTGGAAGATGAGATTCAATAAGTTTCCTTTTATCGTAATTGTCATATCTCTCCACTGGTCATTACAACTGTGAAAGAAGGGATGGTTTGTTGGTCATCTCAGTAAAAGAGTTGAAATGGAGAGATTGGCCTTTTGTAGATTAATGCGGGGTAAAGGAAGTTGGGCGATGGAAAGGGAAAGGCTAATTTGCCGAAAGGTTTTGCTGGCAGCTTTTTCATCTTTCTAGATGACAGTATTAAATTGTGTTATGAGGAAGCATAGGAAAGACTATCCATGGCCATACCAACTGAGGCCACGAATGAAGTCCTTTCTTTCCATGGTGCAAATCCTGGTTGGTCAGTTTGTAGAGACTTTATTGCTCATACAGCATGGTCCCTCATCTGGTCTGCTTTTTTACCCTTAGAGGAAAGGTAACACCAATGCAAAATGGTGTAAACACATTTTAACAGATGTTAGTTATGGAATGTTTAAAGTTGGATCAAAATATGGTGGCAATGTATAGTATTCTTCTTCTAAACTCTTTTTACTCAGCAATTGTATTTTATTGAAAAGCATGTTATGTGCATAGCAGTATCTATAATATGGGGGGGGGGGGGGGGGGGGACACTGAAGAAGAATAAAAAGAAGAAAAAAAGAAGAAAAAAAAGAAGAAGTAGAAGAAGAAGACGAAAAAGAAGAAGAAGAACAAGAACAAGAAACAGAAGAAGAAAAACAAGAAGAAGAAGAAGAAGAAGAAGAAGAAGAAGAAGAAGAAGAAGAAGAAGAAGAAGAAGAAGAAGAAGAAGAAGAAGAAGAAGAAGAAGAAGAAGAAGAAGAAGAAGAAGAAGAAGAAGAAGAAGAAGAAGAAAAGGAAGTGCAGGAGGAAGAGGGGGAGGAAGAAGAAGAGAAAGAAGAAGCAGATTCACGTATACTGTAATTTATAAATGGCTTCATACTATCAATCCTTTACTGTCCTCTTTTTTGATAAGAGCTATGTTATCTTTATTCTGTCTGCAATGTTCCTCAGCTTTGATGAGAACTATCATGTCTCCCTGCTCTCTGGAACTGTCTTGAACATTGATGAGAACTGTCATGTTGTCTTCCTACTCTCTGGAACTGTCCCTAGCTTTGATGAGAACTGTCATGTTGTCTTCCTACTCTCTGGTACTGTCCCCAACTTTGATGAGAACTGTCATGTTGTCTCCCTACTCTCCAGAACTGTATTCAGCTTTGATGAGAACTGTAAAGTTGTCTACCTACTGTCTGGAACTGTCCCCAACTTTGATTAGAACTGTCATGTTGTCTCTTACTCTCTAGAACTGTTCCCAGCTTTGATGAGAACTGTTATGTTGTCTCCCTACTCCCTAGAACTGTTCCCAGCTTTGATAAGAACTGTCATGTTGTCTCCCTACTCTCTAGAACTGTCCCCAGCTTTGATGAAAACTGTCATGTTGTCTCCCTACTCCCTGGAACTGTCCCCAGCTTTTATGAGAACTGTCATGTTGTCTCTCTACTTCCTGGCACTGTCCCCAGCTTTGATGATTACTGTCATGCTGTCTCTCTGCTCTCTGAAACTGTCCCCAGCTTTGATGAGAACTGTCATGTTGTCTTCCTACTCTCTGGAACTGTCCCCAGCTTTGATGAAAACTGTCATGTTGTCTTCCTACTCTCTGGTACTGTTCCCAACTTTGATGAGAACTGTCATGTTGTCTCCCTACTCTCTGGAACTGTTCCTAGCTTTGATGAGAACTGTCTTGTTGTCTTTCTACTCTCTGGAACTGTTCCCAGCTTTGATGAGAACTGTCATGTTGTCTCCCTACTCGCTGGAACTGTCCCCAGCTTTGATGAGAACTGTCATGTTGTCTCCCTACTCTCCAGAACTGTATTCAGCTTTGATGAGAACTGTAATGTTGTCTACCTACTGTCTGGAACTGTCCCCAACTTTGATTAGAACTGTCATGTTGTCTCCTACTCTCTAGAACTGTTCCCAGCTTTGATGAGAACTGTTATGTTGTCTCCCTACTCCCTAGAACTGTTCCCAGCTTTTATGAGAATTGTCATGTTGTCTCTCTACTTCCTGGAACTGTCCCCAGCTTTGATGATTACTGTCATGCTGTCTTCCTGCTCTCTGGAACTGTCCCCAGCTTTGATGAGAACTGTCATGTCTCCCTCCTACTGGAACTGTCCCCAGCTTTGATGAGAACTGTCATGTTGTCTCCCTACTCTCTAGAACTGTTCCCAGCTTTGATGAGAACTGTCATGTTGTCTCCCTACTTCCTGGAACTGTTCCCAGCTTTGATGAGAGCTGTCGTGTTGTCTTCCTACTCCCTGGAACTGTCCCCAGCTTTGATGAGAACTGTCATGTTGTCTCCCTACTTCCTGGAACTGTCCCCAGCTTTGATGAGAACTGTCATGTTGTGATCTCTCTACCAGGAAGCCTGATCCTGGCCTCAGCGAGTCCTGCAGATGCTGGCCTCTACCAGTGCATGGCAACCAACAAGCTAGGCACAGCATACGGGGTCATCAGGTTGAAGGTTACAGGTCATGAAAAGGGAGCATTCCCACCTGCTGGTGAGTGTAATGTTAGGATAAGAACAAAAACTTATCATTAAGTCTTCAAATGTCAAACAACATGTCATACGTTTATCAGCTATTGTTTGGGTATATCAGTGCATTATATAAAATACAACTGACACTAAAGCAGGCATTAGAACCCATTGAAACAATTCTCATCAAGGTCACAATACTGTGGAATTAATGAACTTCCTCACACGAAAGGGAGGAATCATTATATTTAGAGTGCATACTGGACACAACGTCGGCTTTGTGGCTAAGTCCATGCGAACGCTTCGTAATGCCAGGATGCCTGGTTCGATCCCAGCTGCGGGCCATGCGCCTTGCATTGGTTTCGACAGTGGTATCAAGAAAGCCGACCGTCCAGAAGCAATGGCGAACTACTGGATATAAATTTGCCTAGAAAAACCACACAGGTTGGTTCTGCAACATCCTGTAAAGGATTCACAACTAACCTAACTGGACACAACAGACTCTGCAGCCATATGTACGAGGAATTCAAGATTGGGGATTCAGAACTTTTGTCCATGTGGACAGGTACATAGAAAACTCAACTTGTGCTACAGACCTGCCTGCTCTCTACATGCAGTAGAGAGATTCCAGGTTTGTCCAGTTGGCATTTCAATGGAGACTCATCTGCATGGAACAGTGAGAGACAGGCGTCACACCAGTCATAGAGGTATGTGGGTGGCTTTCTCATCTAAAAAAACCACTGGTAAGAAGAACAAAAAGAAGAAGAAAGAAGAGAAGATGAAAAATAAGCAAGAAGGGAAAAAGAAGAAGAAGAAGAAGAAGAAGAAGAAGAATGCAAAATATATTATTGTATCACTGATTTTTAGTTTAAGCCTACTTTGGAAATCTGGCTAGTTTTAATATTATTTTAATACTTTAATTAATAATGTTGAACTTTTCTGTCAGTTGTGTTCTTATCATTTATCTATATAAACATCTCTGCAACTTTCCTATAATTTATAACTGATCGGCTGACTATCCTGGATTCACTTCAACACAACAGAATTAGTTTTATATAAATATTAGGACTTACTAACTATACTTGACAAAGATATAATGCATGGCAATATTCAGCAAATTCCTAATTAGTTTCCTCTTAGGACATGGTTGTTATGTGGCATTTGATTTATTCACACCCCCCCCCCCACCACCACCACCACCACCACCAATGGAACCTGGAAACCACAAAAGGATTTAAAAAAAATCAAATAGCACTTTCCTAAACTGTGGCATTTTTTTTTTCTCTAACAGATAAACTTCCAACAATGTTAGATGATGAGGACGAAGGGGTGTCCTCAGGAAATGGAAGTCTCGATTATGAAAAGAAGCAGCCGGGATTGAGTGAGAGAAGGAAAAATGGGCGACCGAAAATTGTCAAAATACGAGAGAAAAAGAAAAAGAAGAAGAACGGACTGACAGGGCATGGAGATGCTGAAAAACGTAAGAATTTTGATTGTAAAATTGTGATTTGGATCTTGGTACAGAAGGACTGTTTTAGTGTTTTGAAAATCAAACTGCAGCACAGTAATCTGTTGTAAGTAAGTAAATTAAAAAGTAAAGATCCCGTTTCACGCCTCAGGCAGATCGGGCATATGAGAAGAGCTTCCTATATTACTACATACCAGTTGGCACTAGGTGGTTAATGTGGTCGACTTTACTTCTCCAGGACAGCCATCCTGGTACCCACTTTAGGCTGGGTTGACCTGCATCGCTCCATACCACGATAAAAAGCCACACAGCCAACAGGGGGTTTCGATCGCGGTACGTTGGAATTACGAGTCGGACTCGCAACGCCTAAGCCACGGACACCGCAGTAATCTGTGGTGCTTCCATATAATAGAGTGTAAATTATAACATTCTAATTTATGATGCTTCCACACAATAAAGTGTATATTAGAACACAATAACGTGTGTGCTTCAACACAATGAAGTATTAAAAACATAGTATTGTGTGGTGCATCCACACAATAAAGTATAAATTATAAAACACTGTAATGTGTGGTTCTTCCACACAATGCAGTATAAATTATAGCACAGTAATGTGTGGTGCTTTCATACAGTGAAATATAAATTATAGCACAGTAATGTGTGGTACTTCCACACAAAGAAGTATACATTATAAAACAGTAATGTATGGTGCTTCCACATTATGGAATATAAATTATAGCAGTAAAGTGGGATACTTCCACACAATGAAGTATAAATTATAACAGTAAGTAATATGTAGTGCTTCCATACAGGTAAATATAAATTATAGCACAATTATGTGTGGTGCTTCCACACAATGAATTGTAAATCATAACACAGTAAAGTGTGGTACCTCAACACAACAAACTATAAATTTTAACACACTTTCTTTGTACTACAATTTTATAAGTGTGAACCTCCGCACAATAAGTATAACTCTTGATGATATCACCCATGCATTGGGGGTGAGCAAATGAGAGCCAGAGAATTTTGTTGACTGGATGTTAGTTGTGTATCCTTTACAGGATAAAGCAGAACTAACCTCAGTATTTATTTACTGTTGTGGTTTTTCTAGGCAATTTTATGTTCAGTAGTTTGCCATTTGCATCTTTCCTGTAGCAACATACGGATGTGAGTTGTGGACTATCTCCCAGTCCTTAAGAAAGAGAATAGGGGCTTTTGAGCTGAAATGCTATAGAAAGATTGTCAAAATATCTTGGGCAAAGAAGAGGAGAAATACTGACATATTGTAAGATCTGAACATCAAGGAAGATTGGCTAATAAACAGCATCATATCTCGGAAGCTGAAATATTTTGGTCATATCCAGCACCATGACAGATTGGAAAATAAAATAATAGCAGAAGGCATGGTACCAGGAAGGAGGAGCAGGGACAGACCGACATGAAGATAGGCACATGATATAAACGACTGCTTGAGAATGAAAGTGCATGAGGTGAGAGAGCTGGCTAGAGACTGTGTTTCTTTCAGGCGGACCGTGATGAAGGCAACATTCTGCAAAGGACCTGCTACATGTTGATGAGTTTGCCATTGCTTGCTGAATGGTCAGCTCTTGGTACCACTGTCAAACCCAGCACAAGACTGCATGAGGGTCTGTAAAACCAGCACAAGAGACAGCTGGCATCTGAGTTGAGGTACAGAGTATCTCCTTATACACATCACAATGGGCCTTAACTCTCCCTCACGTCTGTGACCGAAATTACTGCATAACAAATTAGTGGTTGCTGTAAATGCAGAAGAAGAAGAATTATTCTTTTTCACATTTTGTAAATATAGAATACATTCAGTTTTCTATGGAAGATGTTGCATTTTGAATAAGTTAATTAATTTTGTGATAATGTATGCAGTGTCCTAGGCACGTTTTTGCTTATTAATGCATATCTAGACAGGGTAATTTGTATATGGCTTGCTTAGCTAACAACTGGATTAAAATACCATCTGGCAGAATTAATTTACTGTCACATTTTGCACCCAATGCTGTGCCCAGAATTTTAGTTGATGTCATGCTAATTTTAAACATATTTTTTAAATTAAAGATAAATCATCTTCAAGATAAATGAGTGTAATGAAGTGTGTGCTTAAATATACAGGAATGACATAGGAGGTATAAATTTTTTTGTGGGGTCTTCCTTTCCAGCGAAATATGCTCCGTCTGTCCCCATTGTCTCTCAGCTGTCTGACCGCTCTGTGATGCTCAACTGGTCAGTTCCAGACAAGGGAAATGGTCAGACAATAAAGTTTTTCAAGGTGCAGTACAAAGAGATGAGCCCGGAGAAGGGACCCTGGCGTACAAGCGATGCCCATCTCACTTACAACATTAGAAGATTTGAAGTTTCAGATCTCAAGTCAGGTACATAATACTGTTGTAAATAATGCATTTGCTTCTTTTTCTTCTTCTTTGTCAATTATGGTCGTCCCCATGTGGGATGCACTTTTTTTTTGAAGCCCCACCCTGGCTTTTGCCAGGGGCCCTGAATATAGCCAGGCCATAAATATATGGCCTCACAGCTGAAAGGGGTTTCTGGGACCTCTCCACTGGTGATCCTCGTCCGCAGGGTGTCACTTTGTGACACCGGGTGTTTATCGCTTGTGTGATGTCCTGGTGGGGCACAATTACCTACTTACCTACCTTTTCTTATTCTTCATAATTAGCATTCTTTGGAACTTTCGTTTCTCTCTGAGATATGCAAGTGTTCTGGGGGTTAGCTGGTGCTGCGGTCTTAAGTTGTGATCTGATACATGACAAGTTAGGTGTGGTCAAGGCCTTTTGGAGCAGCTGAGCATGCATGTCATTATGATGTGGAGATAATCCTACAGTGGGGAGTGAGCAAGGGATTTGGTTAACATTCCACATTCAGAGGAAAGGCAACACAAACATATAATCAAACTGCTGGTAACACCATCAGAATTGGAACTCTTCCCTTACTGTTGAATATGAGGAAGGATCACATATGGGAATGTCCCAAGTGTTGAGATGTTGATTCTTAACTCAACTCAGCCAGTACTTGTCCCTGTAGTCTTGTGTGCTGTGTAGCATTGGTAATCATATCTCTCCACAGCCTTCTGTCTCATCTAATGCAAAGAATTTCTGATAATGTAACAGAAAGTCATCAAGACCCCCCTTTTCACTCCCAGCTGAATGATTTCTGAAGGTTAGCAGGGAAATGAATAAGCAGACAGGTTGGCTGATGCTGCAGTCCCCAGTTGTAAATTGATGCAGGAAAAGCTAGATGTGGGCAATATCCCAGCCAACCTCTCTTCTTAAGGGCCAAATGTAAACGAACCTACGTGCCCAATTTGTAACTCTTTTGAAAAAAGTTAGTTTGTTCGTTCGTTCTCCAGATAATGAATCTTCTGTTCTCTTGCACTGTTGACTTAATCCCAGACAGCCTTCACTGAGTTGACCTTATAATGTAGCTTTGCTGTCCAGAGGGACAGCAGCCAGCTTATCAGCTTGCTCATTTCCCTGCACACATGAATCTCCTGGGGGGAAAAAATAATCCATGATATGCTTCTGATTTGAAATTTACAAAGCGATGTAAGCCACTATGCTTCTGATTTGAAATTTACAAAGCGATGTAAGCCACTCTCAGTGCAGGAGACCAGTTTCTAATTTCTGAAGCAATCTCTGCGAGTCTGTTACAATTACATGTTGGACTGCTCTGTTTTCCAGCAGTCGGAAAGGAAATTCTCCAACTGGAGAAACAAAAACAATTACCCCCCAACCTAAGCTGGGTATAAAGCCAGTGAATGAAAGTGATGCATGGACAACATAAATAATCCGGAAAACAAATACATACAGCACACCCAAAGCAACATATTTAGCCTTAGAATTCAAGCTTGAAATCCTCAGATTTCCTGTCAGTGGCAATTGGAGATTAGACCAGCAGACATAATCTACCTGACAATAGACAAAAATCCTATCATATTAACCATGAAAATAAATGCCAGACTGTCTGTAATCATATAGACTTATAAAAGCTAGATTATTTCTGATATGGCTAGCCATGGAATAATACAGGATGGAATATATTTAGCGCTATAAGCCATATATTTGTTAGTGCCAGAGTTAGTTAGTCTTGGATTAAGCTGCATGAAATTAAATCACACTGGACACATAGTTATGTCAAAATATGTTTAAGCATAAAATTGGCTGTGGCAGTGTCTTTCTGAGAATATTTCTCCAGTTTGGAGATTCCAGTATTATAGCTTTTTGTGTTATTTCTTAGTTTGAAAAATTCCTTTCTTCCCATTTCTGTAAATACTTGTAACTTGTAAGAAATATTTCCTTTTGTGCTCTTGAGTATGTTACTTACAAATTTTGTATGAATATTTCTTAGTATTAGTAGTAGAATATTTCTTATCTGTACCAACAATTGTATGCAGTAAAAGAAATGAGGAAAATTAATACTTTCATTGCTGTGTTCTTTTCTTGTCTCCATGAAGGTGGGTCTTACAAGTTTCGTATTTTGGCTGTGTACGAGGATGATGACAACAAAAACTCTGCCAACACTCCAATCTTCAAACTGTCCATCCAGCCCCACACACAAGCCAAATCTCCAGATACAGCTCCGACCATTGTGGAGGCCAAACCAATTGTTTACCAGCAAAACTTTGGTATCGGAGTCAAATGGCAGGTGTGTACATGTGCCCTATCTTTGGTTATTGGCTTTTCTCTTAAAGGGTAATAATAAAATGTAATAGTCTTTTACTAGATAAGGTTCTTCTGAAATTGGAGCACATCTGCCCGAGAAGCAAAGAATAACAGACTGCACAAAAATAAGTTAGTAAAACGGATGCACATACAAAACTCAGGTTCTGGCACAAATGGACGAACAACCAGCACTTTCTACCAGAATTTATAGTCGATGAACAAAACAATGAAAAACACCCCAATTAGATCAGGGGAACATTAGAACAGCAGTTCCTTAGTCTTGTATCAGACTGGGAAGAAGTGGTCATGTATTTATATCCCTATCATTAAAATAAAGGAAGTCCAGAATTTAAAGGGATCCCCCGTGGTGAAGTAACTAGACGCTAGCCTGCGGATCCGAAGGTCATGGATTAGGTCCTGCCTGATGGAGCCGGACTTTTGGGAGCCACCACAGTGTAGCGGCTGGACACTTGCATGTGAAATGGAAGATCATGGGTTTAGGTCCTGACGGAAAAAAACAAAACTTTAGCTTACAGGTCAACCCAGCCTTGAGTGTGCACCAGATGAAGTCCTGGGAAGTAAAGGCGACTGGCCTGATGCTGACCTCATCACTCAGCAGGGGCCACTTGGTCTATAAAATGTAGGCCTAGCCCTATATACCCAATATGCCTGAATTGGAAACCTGAGCTTTCCACCAAAATTGACAGCTTGTGGCATTTGTGTAAATGATAGTCTAAACTGAACTTTCCCTCCGATGTCTGCGTGATTGTTTAACAGGAACACTGCATTTGATTGTTTGTTCCCTCTCGTGTTCTTCTTCTTCTTCTTCGTTCACCGGCTGTGAATTCCGGCGGAAGGTCCCGGTTAGTCGTCCGCTTGGACTTTTGGCTTTTACCTGGACCTGAGTTTTGCGCGTACAACCGTTTTGCTGTTCCCTGCCTCGCGGGCAGATGTACTTCGACTTCGAGGGAAGACGTCAGGCCTATTTCTAGGATGAATGTGGCCATTGTTTTGTGTGGGTCGAGACGTTGCCTGATTTGTGTGGTGTCCTCTTTGTCGCCTTCTCCACAGGTGTTGCCCCCGGAGTACCCCTTTGGGGCAGCCCCTTGTGGAACGTGTTAGCCCTCAAGGGAAGGCAGGGGCAGATCATGGGCATTCCCCGCCATCCAAGGAGGCTTCCATGTATGCAGAGCCGACACATGGCCCTCTGTTTCTGGGCTCACCCAAGGAATCGTCACGTCCTGCACATGCCTGCTTAACCTTACAACCGTATTAGGCCTCCTGCTCGACAAGGGCTGTCCCCTCCTGAAATCAGCTGGGGGCAGCCCGTGGGTTCTGGACTTTTGTGACCACACGAATAGGTACATTCTTTTTCTTCGCACGTTAGATATCTTTGACGAGCCGTTAGCACGACATAATATAATATCCTGCGTCAGGCATATCGTTATATGTTTGGTCCCAACACTCGGGCGAGTGGGGTCTTTGAATGTGGACATTTGAACTTTTCCCCGTCCAATACGATTTGTGATGGTCGGATTTTGAGCTTACTTGTGTGCCGTAGGATCTAGTTTTGTCGGACATTTAGGCTTAGCCAGCCAAATGGGCTGTTGCTACTGTGGTGTACCTCAGCGCGGTGACGACGACACTGAGGGTTAACAGAGGATGTACATGGGTAAAATCTTGCTGCGAGACGCCACCCACAGGAGATGTTACTCGTCTGTGCTGCAGGTAAATCTCTAGGTCATGGGTTGAGTCTCAGCAGAACAATGTTCTCTTCACTCCGCAATCTTTTAACCAAGGGTTGTAATTTTAGTTGTACGTTTGGCAAGCACTTTACTCATGTTCCTAATGAGTTTTGATAACCTTTTTCACCCATGCGTTTGGGGGCCAGCTGATGAGAGCCACAAGGACACATCACCTCTGGGTGCCGCCAAACTCCGAGATCCCCTGACAGCTCTGTTAATGGTCATTTGAGACATTATCCGTGGCGCACGACGAGGACGTGCTGCAGGGATCTTGCGTGAGGTTCCGTAAAACCAGAACAGTGAACGACTGGCGCCCGAATGACGTACGAAGTATCTCCTTAAACACATCAAGTTGGACTTAACTTTCCCTCACGCCTGTGACATAAATCACCGCGCCACCCTCTCGTGTTAAATGTGCATGTAGCATTAGCATATTCGCTGCCTGGCGGAGCCGGACTTTTTCAAACAATGACCTTGACTTTCAGGTCAACACAGCCTTGAGTGGGTACCGGGTGCAGTCCCGGGAAGTAAAGGCAGATGGCATGATGCTGACCACATCACCCATCTTGTGCCGATCAGTGTAAAAAGTATAGGTCTAGCCCTATATGCCCTATACACCTCAAGTCGTGGAAAAAGGTCCTTTACTTTTTCTTTTACTTAATAATATATTGCAAAGCAAAATAATAATATTCAAGATCATTTTATATATTCCCAAAGATAATCTGCACAGTGTAATTTTCACAACTGTTTACAAAGTAAACTCAATTTATAAGAAACTTAACAATCTATAATACTAAACTCTGTAACAGTCAGTGTATAATTGTATGCAGTATTAAATAACTAAAAGTAACTGACAAGCATAAATATCCAATATAATATAACAGAAAAATAAACTACCGTGTATATCCCAATAATAACCTAGATGAGTTGAACAGAATATCGCTGATTAAACTAATATTATTACTCTCTCATGTTTTCAGTACAAAGCCGAGACTGCATCTCCTATAGAAGGATTTATTATTTTCTACAAACCATTTGGGGCCAGTGAGGACAAGGAGAAGCTGATTCCCGGAGCTGGTATTCGCAATGATGTCATCAGAGATCTCATTCCTAACACTCCGTATAACATCAGAATGCAAAGCTTCAATTCGGCGGGAAGAAGTCAGTTCAGCAATCAAGTTGTGAAAACTACAAGAGCTAGAGGTTTGAATATAGAAATTGTGCTATTGTTTTCAGGTTTTTTAGAATTCTTCTTCTTCTTCTTCTTCTTCTTTTTCTTTTTCTTGTTCACCGGTTGTATTTCCGGTGAAAAGATCTGGTTGTTCGTCCATTTGGACTTTTAGCTTTTACCTCAACCTGAGTTTTGTGTGTACATCTGTTTTACTGGCTTATTTGTTGTGCAGTTCTCATTCCCTGCCTCTCAGGCAGATGTACTCCGACTTCAAGGGAATTTTTTAGGATATTATTTGCTGTTTTCATTAAAAATATTCGAAGGACTCATATTTTGGGGGAAAGGCGGAGAGGGGGAGAGAAGACCCATTGCTGCTTAAAAAGTATGTAAATGATTAATTAGACGTGCTGAAACAAAATATGCTAGGCCGAAAGACACAGATATCTTATTCTCACTGTAAACCACAACAAGCCAAGTGCATTTTTAAGGGAACAGATAATCACAGTCTGAAGAGAATGATGCAGGGAGGTGTGACCAGGACATCTGGCAAATGCTCAACACTGAGGGAAGGGGCAAGATGGACATAGACTCAGACTGTTACAGGTACTAATGGAGTTGAACTTTGCACTTTCTGCTTAAGATGAGAATGGAGCACTTATTGGAATGTCCCAAGTTCTATGATGTTGCTTTTAAACTCAAAAGGCAAGAATTTTCCTCTAACATTAAAGTTCAAAAGCCTGGCTTTTCTTGTGTAGTCATTGTGAAATGGTTTTTAAGTCTTGTCCATATTTCCCCATTGAAAAGATGACTTTTCCAGAGGTTTGATATTATTTGTTTCCTGGGAAGCAACAACACAGAAAATACTTTCACTGCTGCCTACCTAGCCTGTCTTAGAAGAGGTAGCTAAGAAAGATTGGCACAAGCTTGACTATCCCATCACATACAGAAATATAGCTGTAAACTGTGCACCCACCCCCAACCCCTTTTTGACAAGCATGCATAAATCCAACTAATTTGGGGTGCTTTCCTTCAGAGTTGGAGCGCATTTTTCACAGAGGTGAGGAATCAACAGTCTGCATAAAAATAAGCCTGTTCTGCAAAATGGACGAAAATTCAAGTTTTGGAACAAGACATCCAAAAGTGAATGATCAACCAGAAGTTTGCCCTGGAGTTTACAGCCCGTGAACACTAAGAAGAAGAAGAGAGCTTTCTCATGCAGCTTTCCCAAGCCCTCCTGTCTTGTTCACCTCACTTTCACAAGGCCGATGTGGTCAAGGCCCTTTGGGAACAAGCAACAATATCAGTAGGCAAAGAAGATTATTATGGCCTGGAGAGAATGAGGCAACTTGGTGTAACCAAAGGATCTGGCTGGCTCACTACACTCAGAGGAAAGGCAAGATGGACACATAACCAGATTGTGACCGGTACCATCAGTATTGGAACTCTACACTGGCTGCTGAAGATGGGGATAAAAATGTGCATGGGAATGCCCTGAGTGCTGTGATGTCAATTCTTGACTCAACTCAGCACAGCTCACTTCACTTTCTAATTCCCTCCTCCATGTGTTTTTTTTTTTTGGTCTGCCACAATGGACTATACAAAATATAAATCATTTGTTTTCTAGATAATTCCTTGGAGGAAGACTACCAAGAACTAGAGATCCCACAGAAGGAACCAGTGGAAAACACAGAAGCACCAGTGTCAGGTCGACGGACGAGCGAAACTCTAGAACAGCCTGTGATTCTCGGAGTGGTCCTGGGTGCCCTTATCCTGGCTCTATTTATCCTGTGTGCCATGTGCTGGTGGAAGCAAAGGCAGCAAAAGAGGAGAAGTAAGTTATTTTTTACAATTTCTAATGTTTGTTTCTGATCAGCTTTCATGTACTGTTTTCATAGTGGATTCTGACTGCAGTAGAAAAGCACATTGGGTTCTTTATTAATATACTACCCCAGATGACATCACAGAACAGTTCAATATTTTGTAGGGTGGTAAGACTGGGTTTCCTGGCTTTCTGATACTTTTAACAACCCCAAAACATATAGAACTGGCCCTAACCTTAAATTTGTTATTGACAGGTTTAATGTTAAATACTTCTATATTGTTTATTCCCTCATTTAGTGTTAAACCTGTTACGTTGTTCATTTCCAGATTTTATGTTAAATTTGTTATATTGTTGTTGTTGTTTTTTTTAAAGATTTAATGCTAAACTTTGTTACATTGTTTATTTCCAATTTTATGGTTGAACCTGTTATATTGTTTACTTCCAGGATTAATATTAAATGTCATATTGTTTATTCTCACATTTAATGTTTAATCTATTAAATTGTTTACTCCCAGATGTAATATTTAATCTGTTATATTGTTTACTCCCAGATGTAATATTTAATCTGTTATATTATTTACTCCCAGATGTAATATTTAATCTGTTATATTGTTTACTCCCAGATGTAATATTTAATCTGATATATTATTTACTCCCAGATGTAATATTTAATCTGATATATTGTTTACTCCCAGATGTAATATTTAGTCAATTATATCGTTTACTCCCAGATGTAATATTTAATCTATTATATTGTTTATTCCCAGATTTAGTCGGCAGCCCACAACAAAAATTACAGGAGCAGTCTCAGTGCATTTTTGCAGATGTTGCCCACACTAAACCCAATGGCAGTCTGTACCTGGCCAACGGAAGTGTCCCACTAGCCAATGGATACAGTCCACATGTTGACAGCCACAGCCACATGAATATAGATATTAATCCGCTGGCAGAGTACGACATGCAGACGGCAATCTCAGGGGATGGGCGACAAAAACAATTTTATGTGAGTGGTGTGGTTCATATATTATTAAACAAGACAGACAATTTCTTGACCCCTCAGAGATGTGAATTTACTGAAGAATCCTTAGAATTCCTTTGAACAGCTAAAAATTAGCAACCGGATTTTTTTTTTATATGGACAAGGGCCCAAAGACAACATTAAACAAACATCAGAAAGAGACAGTCAACATTGTTTGTCTATGTTATGAGAAGAAGGAAACTGGAATGCGTGACCACTAGAAAGATCTGTGGAAAGAGAGAAAGAGGAAGACAGTGTGAGGTGATTCTTGACAGCATTTTGTCATGGCATGGAGGGGGGACAGCACATGAACAGATACATGCTATTGAAAAACGCAGATTGTGGAGAGTCATGATCGCTCACGCCGGTCCGCAAGGCACTTGCTGATAATAGTTCATATCTGTGTCGTATAGTATTATAAAAGTCAAAGGTCCAATAGCATGCCTTGAGTTGTAGAGCAGAGGTATCTTGGGGTGGCTGCTAAATGTGGGGTCTGAGCACCCATGGGAATGTTCAAAGTGAACAGACACTGATGGTGTAACATAAGATGCCTTGAAGAGTAGAATACTTAAAGTTGGCTGCTACATCAGAGGACTGGGAACACATGGGAATGCCCAGTGTACATGGAGGTTGATTGTGATAACGTAACATAATATACCGTGAGGTGTGTTTGGAATGAGGTGCTTATAAAATCTTGTAAGTTATTCTATAAAAAAGCAGGAGGCTGAGTGGTAGGGTACTGGGCTCCTATGCAGGAGATCCAAGTTTGAAGCCTCGGTATGGTAACGGAAATATTTTAGGGAGCCACTGTTAGGTTGACACTGACCTACCGGCCTGAAGGCTTGTGTTTGGGTCCATGTCGTGGTGGATTGTTTTATATGTAACCTTGGCTCCCAGCATTATTGTAATCTCGTCACTTGCAAAAATGAGTCAGTTTATTGTGGCTTAGGCGTTGAAAATGCACTTTTTAATTTTGAGGTGCCGGGTTTGATCCCATTTGCAGGCGACTTGGCAGCAGACTGCTTTGCGTTGGTTTTAATTGTGGCATCGAGTGCTGACTATTCAACAACAGTAAATTGCTAAAAATAAAATTCCCTAATCAAAGCACAAAGTGCCCCTCCCCCCCCCCCCCCCCCTAAATGCAGGGTTGGTTCTGCAACGTCCTGTAAAGGACACATAAATAGCTAAGTTAATAATATGGAAAAACACACTTTTCTTCTTTTTTCTGCCCTTCATCCCCTTATGGAACATAGGCCCTCAACCAACTCATGCCAGGCCTTCCTGTCCTTAGCTATCGCATGCAACTTGCTTCTGTCCTCCCTATCGTCTTGGCTTCACCATCTAATTTCCTTCTCCATGTGATTTTTTGTTGTTGTTGCTCATTTGGCTTTGCTCTTATTTATCACATGTGAATGTTGTTAATTATTAGTGTGGCCATAAGTCATGTTTTGAAACTGGACATTCATATTTTTTGGGGCTGTGCCATCATTACAGTATACACATACAAAAAGTACAATTGTCCCGTTTAAAAAAAAAATAATTTAGGAAACAGCTCTGGAATACTTCATACACTTATCGTTATATCTAAGAACTTATTAGATTACATAGTTTATGATACTTTTATTTTCATTGTAGCATTTTTGTTAAGTGCAGCTGAGGAGTGTGTTGTTATGTTGATTCTTAGCGGAGCAGTGGTTTGGATTTTAATAGTGCTTTTGCAGAGCTAGTAATGAACCCTTTCACCTGACTGACCTAGAAAATGTAAGGGGGGGGGGGGGGAATGGGGTTGAAGTGACTTGCTTGGAATGTCCTTTTTTCAGCTAAAAATATTAGTGGAATGTCCCGTTTTCAGCTCACCCTGTTAATTATTTTTCAGTTTCTTAACACATCTCTTTTACATCTTCAGGGAAATGGTGTCAATGGCTCTTCAATGCCCAGATTTACTGGGGATAATAGCTGTCATGACATCAATTTTCAGCATTCAGGCAGTACCTATAATGGAGGTAATGGAAGAGGTATAGTAAAAAGAATATTTATCACGTAATGATCATTTCTTTCTTATGGTAATCCATTCTATGTGCTGTTTATTATTTTGTCTGTCCTTAGAATCTGAACTACTGTCAGTCATTTCTGATATGTATGTTCTTCCATACCATGACCTACCAACACCTTTTTGTATTCCTCTGTCTCTCTTCTCTTTTTTTTTTTCCCTATTGTCATGACATATGCATTTATAACGCTGTTATGTTACCACTGGGAGGATAATGTCAAAAGATATACAGCAGTACCACTGGGAGGATAATGTCAAAAGATATACAGCAATACCAGTGGGAGGATAATGTCAAAAGATCTACAACAATACCAGTGGGAGGATAATGTCAAAAGATCTACAACAATACCAGTGGGAGGATAATGTCAAAAGATATACAACAATATCAGAGGGAGGATAATGTCAAAAGATATACAGCAATACCAGTGGGAGGATAATGTCAAAAGATATACAACAATATCAGAGGGAGGATAATGTCAAAAGATATACAGCAATACCAGTGGGAGGATAATGTCAAAAGATATACAGCAATATCAGAGGGAGGATAATGTCAAAAGATCTACAACAATATCAGAGGGAGGATAATGTCAAAAGATCTACAACAATACCAGTGGGAGGATAATGTCAAAAGATCTACAACAATATCAGAGGGAGGATAATGTCAAAAGATCTACAACAATATCAGAGGGAGGATAATGTCAAAAGATCTACAACAATACCAGTGGGAGGATAATGTCAAAAGATCTACAACAATACCAGTGGGAGGATAATGTCAAAAGATATACAGCCATATCAGAGGGAGGATAATGTCAAAAGATCTACAACAATATCAGAGGGAGGATAATGTCAAAAGATCTACAACAATATCAGAGGGAGGATAATGTCAAAAGATCTACAACAATATCAGAGGGAGGATAATGTCAAAAGATCTACAACAATATCAGAGGGAGGATAATGTCAAAAGATCTACAACAATATCAGAGGGAGGATAATGTCAAAAGATCTACAACAATACCAGTGGGAGGATAATGTCAAAAGATCTACAACAATATCAGAGGGAGGATAATGTCAAAAGATATACAGCAATACCAGTGGGAGGATAATGTCAAAAGATATACAGCAATACCAGTGGGAGGATAATGTCAAAAGATCTACAACAATACTAGTGGGAGGATAATGTCAAAAGATATACAACTATACCAGTGGGAGGATAATGTCAAAAGATTTACAGCAATACCAGTGGGAGGATAATGTCAAAAGATTTACAGCAATACCAGTGGGAGGATAATGTCAAAAGATATACAATACCAGTGGGAGGATAATGTCAAAAGATCTACAGCAATACAAGTGAGAGCATAATGTCAAAACATGGACGGTGATCAGTCTGAGATAGTTTACAACCAAGATCACTGGGTGCTAATCATTCAGCATGTGGTCATAGTGGAGTTCAGCTCCACTCCCTCAACTTTTGGAAAATAAAGAGTTAAAGAAACAACCATTTGCTACTGAAAGAGTTAATGGGAGTTGTGATCAGTATCACAGAAGGCACATTTATTTTCCCAGACAAAATGTCTGGCAGTCAGTGTAAGCTTAGTCGTTATTCGTGAAGCACAGGTCACTGAGTCAAAGCTTCTGTCTCAATGGTGATTCTAATACGAGACGCCTAAAGAAGCATAGCCACTCAATGGCAAGACTCTTCCGGTCTTCATCTTTTTTGTATAGACCGGCAGTAAACTCTGAAAAATATTCTTGTTGTTCATCCACCTCTGGACTTCAGACTTATTCCAGAACCTCAGTATTGTATGCACATCTGTTTTACATGTCTGACTTATTTTTATGCAGACTGTTGGTTCCTTGCCTCTGACTTTGAACGAAACCCCAAATGTTTTCCCCGCAATGGGGTCCCACACAACGAATCCTTACAGTAATTACTGAATAGTGCAGAATAATTACTGAATTATGAATTAAGAATCGACATCATAGCACTCTGGACATTCCCATAAGCACTTCAACCCAATCTTCAGCAGCAAATATAGAGTTTCAAATCTGATGGTACCAGTAACCGTCTGTATATCCACTTCATCCCTCTCCTGAGTGCTGAGCAATGGCCAAGTCCCCTGGTCACTCCGCACTACACAGTTGTCTTCAGACCTTGATGATCTATGAGTGCCTCGGTACTGTATTGATTAAATATAGATTATAACTTATGTTCTTCAGATATTGATTATAAATTAGCAGTATGGGCACAGTATTTAGACATTTGAAATGTGGTTATATGGTTACATGGACTGGGGAGAAAGTGCTGAAGGCAGGAGTACTTTTCTGCAAGATGAATGGTGAGAATGAAAGGTTAGAACAAGTGAGGAAAACACCACAGACATTTAAAAAAAAAGAGTAATTAAGATGTTTAGAAAGAAATTATTTCATGAAGAGAACTGATTACCAGTATAACAAGTAGACAAATCTATATTTTTTGGTCCCGTTGTAACAAGGAGGAAACTGGAGTACACAAGGACAATTGAAAAGTTGGATGGCAAGAGAGGCAGGGGGAGACTATTACAGAAGATGCTGGGCAATTTAGCATTGTTCTGTAGGATCATGTTAGAAATGATTGAAAGTACATGAGACAGAAGGCTGGGAAAAGACAGCTACCAATGCCACATGGCATAGATTTAAAGAAGAATAATATGAAAGTTAAAAGGGTTGTTATGAGGGATACATGCTGGCTACATCACTAATTCTTCTTTTTTCTTCACTTCACCTTAAATAAGTTTTCTATATCAGCAATTTTGCCTCTCGTATAAACTGCACTGTCCATAGAGTTTACGTTCCACTGTTGTTCTTTCTAGCCAAAAGGTTTGCGCTATTGTGTCATATTCTGTGCAGTCCTGGAGTACATGCTCTGCTGTCTGGGGCACTTTTCTACTAGTGACCATGGCTGATACGCCTAGCCTATCGCTACACGATTAATCAGAAAAGAAATGTTTGGAAAGAAACTGGTGAAATGTTGTTGTTGTTGTTGATCCAGAGACACATGAGTTTTTGCCTTTTTGCCCCATGTTTTTACAAGCTGTTCTTTTCCTTCATAAAAGGTGATCCATTTATCTAGTTTCAGAGGGAGTAGTAGCGTTCTTCTAGTCTCACTGAGTTTTGGGCACTCAAAGAGATGATTGTCAACAGTTTTGTAGGGGTAGTTACATAGCTGGCACTTTGGGGAGTACTGTGCAAAACTACTGACATAAACCAACAGTGTTAATAAACGAGAAGAGTATTACTTCCATCTGCCATGAAATGACCTTGACCATTGACTGCCACAGACAGACCAATATAAACTTTAATGAATTATCTGTTTCAGACACACCAGTCCTTGAAACGCAGAAGTTACTGTATCCTATGCAACATCGCACATTACCACAAGCTCCAAATAAACTAGCTCACTCGTTTTATTCAGATGCTAGTTCACTGGGCCAGCCAGTGAATCACGAATACTCAGAATTAGGAGACAGGGAGCAGCTGTCTCCTGGTATTCCTCATTCTATAAGTAAACAAAACATTGGTTACCACGGCAACAACGTGAGAAACTATGACTATAATTGGTCCAGCATGTATGATAAGCCTTGGCTGGATCAACCCCATTTTTCTTCTGGGGAGAGGGTGTCGCCCATGTTTCTACCTCCAACAATAGACTATAGTGGTAAGCCAGGCCCTTGCCACCAGCTCAGCAACAAACATCTGCTGCCATCTCTGTCAAAGTCTTCCGTAGCTCCTCCCGCACCAGCACCAGGTTTCGGGACAATACCTGAGTGCACTGAGCCCCATCATGGTGGTGGCAAGCATAAACGCAGGAGGAAGCGGTTACACGGCAAGGAGCCAGCACCACGAGAGCATGCAGTGAGGGATCAGGCGACAAACACAGATCTCAGCAGTAATGGTAAGTCAGCCTAATTGTTTCCTTTGGAATGTCTCTGCTTGCTGTACATTAGCACTTGGATTGTCTCTACTTGCTGTACATTGGCACTTGGAATGTCTCTACTTGCTGTACATTGGCACTTGGAATGTCTCTACTTGCTGTACATTGGCACTTGGATTGTCTCTGCTTGCTGTACATTGGCACTTGGAATGTCTCTGCTTGCTGTACATTAGCACTTAGAACGTCTCTGCTTGCTGTACATTGGCACTTGGAATGTCTCTACTTGCTGTACATTGGCACTTGGAATGTCTCTGCTTGCTGTACATTGGCACTTGGAATGTCTCTGCTTGCTGTACATTAGCACTTAGAATGTCTCTGCTTGCTGTACATTGGCACTTGGATTGTCTCTACTTGCTGTACATTGGCACTTGGATTGTCTCTACTTGCTGTACATTGGCACTTGGAATGTCTCTGCTTGCTGTACATTAGCACTTTGATTGTCTCTACTTGCTGTACATTAGCACTTTGATTGTCTCTACTTGCTGTACATTAGCACTTGGATTGTCTCTACTTGCTGTACATTGGCACTTGGAATGTCTCTACTTGCTGTACATTGGCACTTGGATTGTCTCTGCTTGCTGTACATTGGCACTTGGAATGTCTCTGCTTGCTGTACATTAGCACTTAGAATGTCTCTGCTTGCTGTACATTGGCACTTGGAATGTCTCTACTTGCTGTACATTGGCACTTGGAATGTCTCTGCTTGCTGTACATTAGCACTTAGAATGTCTCTGCTTGCTGTACATTGGCACTTGGATTGTCTCTACTTGCTGTACATTGGCACTTGGATTGTCTCTACTTGCTGTACATTGGCACTTGGAATGTCTCTGCTTGCTGTACATTAGCACTTAGAATGTCTCTGCTTGCTGTACATTGGCACTTGGATTGTCTCTACTTGCTGTACATTGGCACTTGGATTGTCTCTACTTGCTGTACATTGGCACTTGGAATGTCTCTACTTTCTGTACATTGGCACTTGGATTGTCTCTACTTGCTGTACATTAGCACTTGGAATGTCTCTGCTTGCGGTACATTAGCACTTGGATTGTCTCTACTTGCTGTACATTGGCACTTGGAATGTCTCTGCTTGCTGTACATTGGCACTTGGATTGTCTCTACTTGCTGTACATTAGCACTTGGAATGTCTCTGCTTGCTGTACATTAGCACTTGAAATGTCTCTACTTGCTGTACATTAGTACTTGGAATGTCTCTACTTGCGGTACATTAGTACTTGGAATGTCTCTGCTTGCTGTACATTAGTACTTGGAATGTCTCTACTTGCTGTACATTAGCACTTGGATTGTCTCTGCTTGCTGTACATTGGCACTTGGAATGTCTCTACTTGCTGTACATTGGCACTTGGAATGTCTCTGCTTGCTGTACATTAGCACTTGGAATGTCTCTACTTGCTGTACATTGGCACTTGGAATGTCTCTACTTGCTGTACATTAGCACTTGGATTGTCTCTACTTGCTGTACATTGGCACTTGGAATGTCTCTACTTGCTGTACATTGGCACTTGGATTGTCTCTACTTGCTGTACATTAGCACTTGGAATGTCTCTGCGGTACATTAGCACTTGGATTGTCTCTACTTGCTGTACATTGGCACTTGGAATGTCTCTGCTTGCTGTACATTGGCACTTGGATTGTCTCTACTTGCTGTACATTAGCACTTGGAATGTCTCTGCTTGCGGTACATAAGCACTTGGAATGTCTCTACTTGCTGTACATTAGCACTTGGAATGTCTCTACTTGCTGTACATTAGTACTTGGATTGTCTCTACTTGCTGTACATTAGCACTTGGAATGTCTCTGCTTGCGGTACATTAGCACTTGGATTGTCTCTACTTGCTGTACATTGGCACTTGGATTGTCTCTGCTTGCTGTACATTAGCACTTGGAATGTCTCTGCTTGCGGTACATTAGCACTTGGATTGTCTCTACTTGCTGTACATTGGCACTTGGAATGTCTCTGCTTGCTGTACATTGGCACTTGGATTGTCTCTACTTGCTGTACATTAGCACTTGGAATGTCTCTGCTTGCTGTACATTAGCACTTGGAATGTCTCTACTTGCTGTACATTAGTACTTGGAATGTCTCTACTTGCGGTACATTAGCACTTGGAATGTCTCTACTTGCTGTACATTAGCACTTGGAATGTCTCTACTTGCTGTACATTAGTACTTGGAATGTCTCTACTTGCGGTACATTAGCACTTGGAATGTCTCTGCTTGCGGTACATTAGCACTTGGAATGTCTCTACTTGCTGTACATTAGCACTTGGAATGTCTCTACTTGCTGTACATTAGTACTTGGAATGTCTCTACTTGCGGTACATTAGTACTTGGAATGTCTCTGCTTGCGGTACATTAGCACTTGGAATGTCTCTACTTGCTGTACATTAGTACTTGGAATGTCTCTGCTTGCGGTACATTAGCACTTGGAATGTCTCTTCTTGCTGTACATTAGCACTTGGAATGTCTCTGCTTGCGGTACATTAGCACTTGGAATGTCTCTACTTGCTGTACATTAGCACTTGGAATATCTCTACTTGCTGTACATTAGCACTGGGAATGTCTCTACTTGCTGTACATTAGCACTTGGAATGTCTCTACTTGCTGTACATTAGCACTTGGAATGTCTCTACTTGCTGTACATTAGCACTGGGAATGTCTCTACTTGCTGTACATTAGCACTTGGAATGTCTCTACTTGCTGTACATTAGCACTTGGAATGTCTCTACTTGCTGTACATTAGCACTGGGAATGTCTCTACTTGCTGTACATTAGCACTTGGAATGTCTCTACTTGCTGTACATTAGCACTGGGAATGTCTCTACTTGCTGTACATTAGCACTTGGAATATCTCTACTTGCTGTACATTAGCACTTGGAATGTCTCTACTTGCTGTACATTAGCACTTGGAATGTCTCTACTTGCTGTACATTAGCACTTGGAATGTCTCTACTTGCTGTACATTAGCACTGGGAATGTCTCTGCTTGATGTACATTAGCACTTGGAATGTCTCTACGTGCTGTACATTGGCACTTGGAATGTCTCTACTTGCTGTACATTAGCACTTGGAATGTCTCTACTTGCTGTACATTGGCACTTGGAATGTCTCTACTTGCTGTACATTGGCACTTGGATTGTCTCTACTTGCTGTACATTAGCACTTGGAATGTCTCTGCTTGCGGTACATTAGCACTTGGATTGTCTCTACTTGCTGTACATTGGCACTTGGAATGTCTCTGCTTGCTGTACATTGGCACTTGGATTGTCTCTACTTGCTGTACATTAGCACTTGGAATGTCTCTGCTTGCTGTACATTAGCACTTGAAATGTCTCTACTTGCTGTACATTAGTACTTGGAATGTCTCTACTTGCGGTACATCAGTACTTGGAATGTCTCTGCTTGCTGTACATTAGTACTTGGAATGTCTCTACTTGCTGTACATTAGTACTTGGAATGTCTCTGCTTGCTGTACATTGGCACTTGGATTGTCTCTGCTTGCTGTACATTGACACTTGGATTGTCTCTACTTGCTGTACATTAGCACTGGGAATGTCTCTACTTGCTGTACATTAGCACTTGGAATATCTCTACTTGCTGTACATTAGCACTTGGAATGTCTCTACTTGCTGTACATTAGCACTTGGAATGTCTCTACTTGCTGTACATTAGCACTTGGAATGTCTCTACTTGCTGTACATTAGCACTGGGAATGTCTCTGCTTGATGTACATTAGCACTTGGAATGTCTCTACGTGCTGTACATTGGCACTTGGAATGTCTCTACTTGCTGTACATTAGCACTTGGAATGTCTCTACTTGCTGTACATTGGCACTTGGAATGTCTCTACTTGCTGTACATTGGCACTTGGAATGTCTCTACTTGCTGTACATTAGCACTTGGAATGTCTCTACTTGCTGTACATTAGCACTTGGAATGTCTCTACTTGCTGTACATTGGCACTTGGATTGTCTCTGCTTGCTGTACATTAGCACTTTGATTGTCTCTACTTGCTGTACATTGACACTTGGATTGTCTCTGCTTGCTGTACATTAGCACTTGGAATGTCTCTACTTGCTGTACATTGGCACTTGGAATGTCTCTACTTGCTGTACATTAGCACTTGGAATGTCTCTACTTGCTGTACATTGGCACTTGGATTGTCTCTGCTTGCTGTACATTAGCACTTAGAATGTCTCTACTTGCTGTACATTGGCACTTGGAATGTCTCTACTTGCTGTACATTGGCACTTGGAATGTCTCTACTTGCTGTACATTAGCACTTGGAATGTCTCTACTTGCTGTACATTGGCACTTGGATTGTCTCTACTTGCTGTACATTAGCACTTGGAATGTCTCTGCTTGCGGTACATTAGCACTTTGATTGTCTCTACTTGCTGTACATTGGCACTTGGAATGTCTCTGCTTGCTGTACATTGGCACTTGGATTGTCTCTACTTGCTGTACATTAGCACTTGGAATGTCTCTGCTTGCTGTACATTAGCACTTGAAATGTCTCTACTTGCTGTACATTAGCACTTGGAATGTCTCTACTTGCTGTACATTAGTACTTGGATTGTCTCTACTTGCTGTACATTAGCACTTGGAATGTCTCTGCTTGCGGTACATTAGCACTTGGATTGTCTCTACTTGCTGTACATTGGCACTTGGATTGTCTCTGCTTGCTGTACATTAGCACTTGGAATGTCTCTGCTTGCGGTACATTAGCACTTGGATTGTCTCTGCTTGCTGTACATTAGCACTTGGAATGTCTCTACTTGCTGTACATTAGTACTTGGATTGTCTCTACTTGCTGTACATTAGCACTTGGAATGTCTCTGCTTGCGGTACATTAGCACTTGGATTGTCTCTACTTGCTGTACATTGGCACTTGGATTGTCTCTGCTTGCTGTACATTAGCACTTGGAATGTCTCTGCTTGCGGTACATTAGCACTTGGATTGTCTCTACTTGCTGTACATTGGCACTTGGAATGTCTCTGCTTGCTGTACATTGGCACTTGGATTGTCTCTGCTTGCTGTACATTAGCACTTGGAATGTCTCTGCTTGCTGTACATTAGCACTTGGAATGTCTCTACTTGCTGTACATTAGTACTTGGAATGTCTCTACTTGCGGTACATTAGCACTTGGAATGTCTCTACTTGCTGTACATTAGCACTTGGAATGTCTCTACTTGCTGTACATTAGTACTTGGAATGTCTCTACTTGCGGTACATTAGCACTTGGAATGTCTCTGCTTGCGGTACATTAGCACTTGGAATGTCTCTACTTGCTGTACATTAGCATTTGGAATGTCTCTACTTGCTGTACATTAGTACTTGAAATGTCTCTACTTGCGGTACATTAGTACTTGGAATGTCTCTGCTTGCGGTACATTAGCACTTGGAATGTCTCTACTTGCTGTACATTAGTACTTGGAATGTCTCTGCTTGCGGTACATTAGCACTTGGAATGTCTCTTCTTGCTGTACATTAGCACTTGGAATGTCTCTGCTTGCGGTACATTAGCACTTGGAATGTCTCTACTTGCTGTACATTAGCACTTGGAATATCTCTACTTGCTGTACATTAGCACTGGGAATGTCTCTACTTGCTGTACATTAGCACTTGGAATGTCTTTACTTGCTGTACATTAGCACTTGGAATGTCTCTACTTGCTGTACATTAGCACTGGGAATGTCTCTACTTGCTGTACATTAGCACTTGGAATGTCTCTACTTGCTGTACATTAGCACTTGGAATGTCTGTACTTGCTGTACATTAGCACTGGGAATGTCTCTACTTGCTGTACATTAGCACTTGGAATGTCTCTACTTGCTGTACATTAGCACTGGGAATGTCTCTACTTGCTGTACATTAGCACTAGGAATGTCTCTACTTGCTGTACATTAGCACTTGGAATATCTCTACTTGCTGTACATTAGCACTTGGAATGTCTCTACTTGCTGTACATTAGCACTTGGAATATCTCTACTTGCTGTACATTAGCACTTGGAATGTCTCTACTTGCTGTACATTAGCACTTGGAATGTCTCTACTTGCTGTACATTAGCACTTGGAATGTCTCTACTTGCTGTACATTAGCACTGGGAATGTCTCTGCTTGCTGTACATTAGCACTTGGAATGTCTCTACGTGCTGTACATTGGCACTTGGAATGTCTCTACTTGCTGTACATTAGTACTCAGATAACCTTCTTCTTTTTAGTGTTTACCAGTTGTTAACTGTTAACCAGCTACTCGTTATTGTAGCTATTTACACACAGCTTAGGAGGAGTGGCTGGCCAAATGGTTTGGATGCTGGAGGGGAGGTGGGGGGGGGGGGGGGGGGGGGGCTTTCATGCAGAAGTCCTGGGTCCTATTTTCTGTAAGGTGTTGGCAGTGGTTTTTGTTTTTTCCTCTCAGATGCAAAAATAAATATCTTAACCTGCACAGTTCATGGCAAAAGCACTAGTCATGTAGCCCTAAATCCTCAGACTTAAGTATCTCCCTGTACTATACAGCCGTAAATGGTTGTATTATTTCAACAATGAAAAGAGTGCATAACCAGTAGTTACCTACGGCTTACATTATATATATTTACATAAGGTGTTACATTAGCACTGTTTGTATACAGTTTACATTAGCACTATTTGTATATAGTTTACATTAGCATTATTAACATACAGTTTGCACTAGCACTATTTGATGCAGATTGCATTAGCATTATTTTCAGTCAGTTTACAACAGCTCCATTTATATACAATTTAGAATAGCACTATTTGCATACAGTTAAATTTCAATCAATCAAAAAAAAAACCTCATCGCGTCCGGATGCGCATAAGGCAGATACAAACTGTCGCTGCTCAATCTGATACTGAGCCATAGTTACATTTAGCACTATTTAAATACAGTTTACACTAGCAGTGTTTCAATACAGTTTACACTAGCAGTGTTTAAATACAGTTTACACTAGCAGTGTTTAAATACAGTTTACACTAGCAGTGTTTAAATACAGTTTACACTAGCAATGTTTAAATACAGTTTACACTAGCACTATTTAAATACAGTTTACACTAGCACTATTTAAATACAGTTTACACTAGCGCTGTTTAAATACAGTTTACACTAGCAATGTTTAAATACAGTTTACACTAGCACTATTTAAATACAGTTTACACTAGCACTGTTTAAATACAGTTTACACTAGCAATGTTTAAAAACAGTTTACACTAGCAATGTTTAAATACAGTTTACACTAGCACTATTTAAATACAGTTTACACTAGCAGTGTTTAAATACAGTTTACACTAGCAGTGTTTCAATACAGTTTACACTAGCAGTGTTTAAATACAGTTTACACTAGCAGTGTTTAAATACAGTTTACACTAGCAGTGTTTAAATACAGTTTACACTAGCAATGTTTAAATACAGTTTACACTAGCACTATTTAAATACAGTTTACACTAGCACTATTTAAATACAGTTTACACTAGCGCTGTTTAAATACAGTTTACACTAGCAATGTTTAAATACAGTTTACACTAGCACTATTTAAATACAGTTTACACTAGCACTGTTTAAATACAGTTTACACTAGCAATGTTTAAAAACAGTTTACACTAGCAATGTTTAAATACAGTTTACACTAGCACTATTTAAATACAGTTTACACTAGCAGTGTTTAAATACAGTTTACACTAGCAATGTTTAAATACAGTTTACACTAGCACTATTTAAATACAGTTTACACTAGCAATGTTTCAATACAGTTTACACTAGCAATGTTTCAATACAGTTTACACTAGCACTGTTTAAATACAGTTTACACTAGCAATGTTTCAAAACAGTTTACACTAGCAGTGTTTCAATACAGTTTACACTAGCACTGTTTAAATACAGTTTACACTAGCACTATTTAATACAGTTTAGATTAACACTATTTTAATGGAGAGAAATGGATCCATTGGAATGAACCCTATGCAATGAAGTTGATCCTCTTGACCTAACTTAACCAAACGTAACTATCTATGTACCTGTTTGTCTGCCTGGTTATCATCTACCAATTCATAATTTTGAGATACCTGTTTGGATTTGAACTTCAGGCGATTTGGCAGCGTACCGTTTTTCTTTGATTTAACAGTGGCAGTGAGAGCTGACCAATTTGAGGTAATGGCAGACTTCTGAACGTTAAGTTATATAATAAAACCAAACAGGCAAAAAATGTTGGTATTGGTTCTGTAACATCCTGTAAAGGATACACAGCTAACTTCAACTTTCTAACAGTGAACATAAATATGAGTAACAAGTTCTAGGCATCCGTCATTCTAATCATATAATTGTTTCTTTATTTTCAGAGGGTACTTTTGACTTTGCCACCGTCAGCAAAACAGGATCTGGTTCAAACTGTGGATCAGAAGGAGGCAGCCAAAATTATGATTCTAGTTTTGGCAATAATGGAAGCTTGGAGAGTATGAATGAAGACTCACATTCAGTCGCAAGTACAGTTAGCAGGAATTCTGATGGCCATTTTTCGGCAAATTTGCCGGTGTCACTGTGATAAAATATAATTAGCTGAACATAGAAATGACTATATGCTTCGAAGAAGACTGCCGAACTTTCAGCAGACATAGCAGATGTGATTACTTCATTGTGTTCAAGTGGCTGATAAATAGTCCTATGTAACTGACAATGTTGTGATGAAGCTGTTCATAACAATTACATGAAATTCGTTATTATAAAAAAAACATTCTGTTTGACTGTTTCCGCCGCCATCCGGGCTGCTTCACCAAGGTTTGACCATCCCAGCGATTGCACGAATCTCATCCTGGATGCCAAACAAGCAGGGCAAATCTCAGATGCCTTGTTCAACCTCTAGAAAAGGTTATAACTGTGGCACTAAAAGTGGCTACAATAAGTATTACTCAGTGTTTCCTACAGCCCTGTTTGGGTAAGATATTTAACTATTATTATTGAAAAGACACTGAATTTGTCATGAATGTGATGTTTTTAGTATGTTTCTGATAACAAGCATTACATTGTATTTATCTTCCATAATAATTCTATGCATGAAGCTGCCTTTATTTTATTCTCAGTCATTTTTCAGAACTATGCAGTGGTTGCTTACTGATTTTCTTTGCATTACTCTGTTAATTTTTGTCACTTGAAATGCCTTAATGTTAGCTGTGCTTTTCTGAGTCTATTAATTTCTGATGGAATTACTTTCTTGGATTTAACACTTTCAAATCCAAGCAATACATTATGTGTTACTTACTATTTATCGTGTCTCAAACATCACAACAAGTGTTTTCTTATATTCAAGTTTTGGTCAGTGAATACTACACAAATCTGGCAACCGAATGGGTGTCTTTAATTCGTTTTTCATGCGTACAACACAGCAAGTGGTTGGAGTTTTCTTGGCAATATGTATTAAAAAAAGAAATAATGACTTTTGTTAAAAGTAATATTAGTCTCCCCAGACCCCACCCATATACACACTAGCTCACTTCTGATTGGTAGTTTCTGAGCCCTGTGACCTTCACACAAGGTTACAGGGGTGTTCCGCAATGCTGTTGATATCGGGTGTTGTATATTTCAGCACGCCAGCACTTTTAACACTCCAAAAAAAAAATGGCTCTAACAAAACCCCCCTAGACACTGCTGCAACCTATGTCACAAGCATTCTTTCTCGGAATGAAAATGTAAATGCCAGACATCACAGAAACCAAACAACAGAGCGGGACACACATGTAACCTTAAAAAAAATTGACCAGCCCTACAAACTTGTGAATGAAAAATGACCTACTCTTTTTGGGGAGACTAATGTCAAACTAACTTGACTTTTATACAGAATTTTATGGGGCTGAAAGATTTAAATCGGCAGCTGAAGAATGAGATGGGCTTGTTCAAAGACAATGATTACAGCCTTTGAGGTGGTGATGACTATCACAGATCACTTTTATTTTTGTGCCAGTTTATGTAGGTGTATGAGGAATGAATAAGGCTGATTAACTTGTGGACACCCTTATTGTCAAAGACAGATGAGCAATGGACTAGGCAGATATTCTGATTACTCTATGAGAAATACTAAGTTTGCATGAATCAAATGATGACTGTAAATCTGAAACCATGGTCAAACTGCAATAACAGGCAAGAGCAGCATGCAGAAAGTCAAAGAAGAATTATAAACCAATACAAAACTGGTGCCGTCAGCCCATAGATGCTGTGTGAGACGGGATCCATGGACTTATAGGATGTGTGGGTGGATGCACAGTTATGATGATCTGTGCAACAAACTGACTGGATATACCTCAGCTGCCTAGGATCTGAGTATACACCCTGTTGAAAAAGAAGAGGTTGTTTTGACACCACTTCTTTCTTCTAAAAAAAAAGATGTTTGTTGTTTTGTTGCATACTTCTATCACAGCTTTGGAAGTCATAGCATATCAAAATATCTTTAGCATTGTCTTTAGCAAAAATTCCTTATTTGTGCATTACAGTTGAGGTAAGAAACTCTGCCTGTTGATTAACTTTATAATACTTCTGTGTTTGTCTGCCCTTGTACACATCAGTAGTTAAACAGCTATTGTTTACTGTAAGTAATGTTTTTAATCTGTATTGGACTGAATTACCTGTAATTTATTGAATCTGTAACCTGAATGATTCTGGCCAATAAATGATCAGATTTACATTATTTTCACTTTGAACTAATTCAGCATGCAAATTCTGTTATGTTATTTAGTTTGTCCTTTCTTTTTGTCGTCTTCTCGGTTACTTGTTATATTTCATCAGTGCTTCCTGTACCATCTGTTATTATTAGAATTGTTAGAAGATATTTACTTAGACTATTCTATACAGTCTATCATGGTGATTGTTTAAAGATATTTACTCAATCTGTTCTATACAATCTACAATGAGGATTGTGAAAAGTATTTTCTCAGTCAAATCTGTGCACACTATAATGAGGATTGTGAGAAGATATAGTCTATTCTATACAGTCTATAATAAGGATTGTCAGAAGATTTATGTTTATCTTTGCTTTACTGTCTGTTATGAGGTTTATTTACCTTGTTTGCCTGAGAAGCTACAAAACCAACACTTCCAGTTGTGGTCAATTCCCCATAAATGTCACTTTTCTGACTTGGCTATAGTGACCTGTTTACAAGACATACAGCTTTGTCAGTCATTCTAGATTCACATACATTATGAATATTTATGACGTAGTTGATACCAGTATAAATTAGATTAGACTCATGCTTTTGAGAGTATTAGTGTTACCATCTTTGTGAGGACCAGTTGATAGACAGAGTTTACACACAATCTACCTCTGTTTCAGTTCTTCCAGTTTGCTATTTCATGTATCCGTTATGTATATTTCTACATTTTGATTTTCGTAATGTTTTCCTCATATCCCTGAGGCCTTGGGGGATAGCAAGGGACATCAGCTGAAAAGAGATAGCCTGATGATAGGAGAGGCAGAAGTCAAGATCAGAACTGTTTGTGCTACTAACAAGACAGTGGAATGGGTTACGGTGCCACCCAGCAAAACAGACTTGCACAAAGGGATAGTTACCTTGGGAGTGGACAGATGGGTAAACAGTGGCATCGGTGCTGATCAATGAAAATTTATGCACTGGAGACATTGTTATGTTCACAGATGGGTCTGAAGTGAGAGGTTAATAAGAGTGGTTGGGGTTGATGGACACTGCTTGAAAACAGAGAGCCTCGCTTAAAATGTCACATCTAGTATGAGTATAGAGCTGGAGGCAGTAGCAGCAGCTTCCCAGTGGCTTGAGAGCAACACAACCCCACATGTGGTGATCATAATGGACTCACAGATCATGCTTTGGAAAATAGAAACTGGCATCCTGCTTGAGAGTGGCTTGTATCACTTGGTAAGGCTCTGATCAGGAGCATGTCATGGATTTTCTGTCCATGAAATTCAGGTGTGCAAGGTAATGAGCAAGCTGATAGACTTGCTGCTGCTGCTCCTTTGGGTAGTGAGCTACATTATGAAAAAGCGGACGTGGTAAATACTCTCTGGGACCAAGTGGAACAAACTAAGTATCCATACATTGACAGGTTAATTCAGCGGAGGTGAGCTGGTAGGGGGTTTGGAAGATATACAACACTGCGGAGACAACATAGGCGGACTTCATGAATCAGGTTGAAACAGGTACTATTAGCATATCGACTCTCTGTTGGTTACTGAAGAGGATGACGGAGTACAGGTGGGAATGTCCTCAGTGCAGGGTTCTCAACTCTTGATAGATTCATTCATTCATTTATGGCTTAATTTCCTCATATCCTTTCACAAACAAGCCTTGGCACAGATTTTACTCAGCAATTTTCCCAGTGTGGGTTCCTTAGCCCCATTTTGGTGAATAAAGAATAGACACACCCCCCCCCCCCACCCACCCCCACCCTCAAACAATCATGTGGTAAGAGGTGACTAATGAGTGGTGTTCCCTTTAAAGTCAGAGTGTATCTGCCAGAGAGGCAAGGAATCAACAGTCTGCATACAGATAAGTCAGATCTGTAAGATGGATGTGCATGTAAATCATCTGGGTCTTTTTAGTTTAAGTTGTGTTGATTAGCTCATGAGTGCTAGCTACCCTCAGTTTCTTTCATTGTCAAACATGTTAAGAAATGAATTGCTCTGTAATGAACCATTCTTCAGAATCTAACGTATTCTTGTTTTGTTTTACATAATTACTTGAAACACAAAATACACAAAAACGTTTAAAACAAAAATTATTATTAATAGCATTAGTCGTCCCCTCGTAGGATGCTATTTTGTGTTTTTTTTAAGCCCCACCCTGGCTTTTGCTGGGGGACCCTGAATATAGCAGGGTCATAAATATGGCCTAGCCATAGATATGGCCTTACGGCTGAAAGGGGTTTCTGGGACCTCTCCATGGGGGATCTTCATCTGCATGGTGGCACTTGGTTTCCCCGGGTGTTTATCGCCTGTGTGATGTCCTGGTGGGGTACAATTACCAACCAACCCACCGATAAATATTACTTGCTTCAGACATATGGTGCTAAATTAATTTTTATAGAAGAGTCTGCACTCAATGGATGATGTGGTCAACATTACGCTGATCACCTTTACTTCCCAGGACATTACCTGGAATATTTTTATTTTAGGCCAGTTGACATCCAGGTCAAGGTCAGTTTTTTTGTTTTCAAAATCTGCATCAAGGCAATAGATAGTTGGGCGAGATTCCACCATCACTGCAGACAAGTTGCCCCACAACTGCTTTGTTCTTGTTCTAGTGGAAATCACACAAAAGTCCTTCACTGTTACTAGTGAAAACTTGTCAGCCCCTGCAAAATCTTCTTAAGTAGTAATGCATAAGGCAGCTGTCTGATGTGCCACCACTACTAGTCCCACATCAAAACTGCAGCTCACAGTTGGTGAAAATGATCAGTTACGAAAGCTGGCAATGAACCTGCAAAAATACACCCTGTTCTGAACACAATCAGCCACCTGCAATTTTAGTGTGGTTAACAACACAATGCAGGTACAACAGGGGGCAAAACACATTCCACATGAAA